AACCACCCCATATTTTGGGGCCTCTTGCCTTCTGAAATGGTCCACACTCTGCCGAGTGTTTTTCTCCCCTGGCCACTCTCACTTTCTGAGGTGACCCCATGCCCTGGGGCCACTCTTGCCTTTTGAGATGATCGCATTCTGCCTACGGAATGTGGATCTCTCTAAATAAATCCACTTCTTACCTATCACTTTGTCTCTCACTGAATTCCTTCTGTAAGGAGACATAAAGAACCTGAGTTTCATTAAGTTCTGAGACCAGTCCTGAGATCTCAATTAAAAGACAGTGGGTTCAAGTCCCAACCTGAGTTGTGCGGTTTCACAATCTTAAATCTATGTACTTTCAAAAAGACCTTGCACTTTGGCTTTAGTGATCACTTAGTACCTGCACTAGAGAAGTAAAATCATACCACTCCTGCCCCCACCAATGAGCACAATCATTAAAGACATCACTGGGTGGAACTAGGCAAAACATTTTCACAGAAGGCCCACTCCTGCAAAAAGAAAAAGAAAAACAAATAACTGTGTTGGAAAGGGCCAGATTTGTCATTCGTTTGTAATGACGTATATTCCAAAAACCACTAGCATCTTATTGTGCTGAACACCCACATGCTGATGATGTTGAGGGATGATAAGAGAAATCACCTGGAGGAACTTGGAAGGGCTCTTCCTTTCATGATTGATACAGACCACCTAAGGTGGTCTCAGACTGCCCACAAGCAGGAAAAATCCTGAGAGCTCTCACTGAGTCTCAGTACCTTCTTTTTGGTGTGACCATTTATGGCAGGCAAAGAACTTGTGCGATGTAAGGGTTTTACAAATAGTTTCAATTGTCAGTTAAGTCAGGGACCATTTCAGATACCAAAAGAGAGATTTGGGAAGTGAGCAGTGTCCATAATCACCATGCCGGTGACAAAATAAAGCAACATACTATCACACACAATACCGTTTTGAGTGCCCAGGAACTCAGGTTCTGTAGGAAAATCCTAATTACTAAGCCACACAAAGGAACAATCCAAAAACTGCAAGGAAATTGGAAAGGGTTACAAACATGATCAACCGGAATACATGTTGAATCACTCACTCACTGATTAGCCTTTTCATCTAGTTAAAAGTATGTCTAGAGCTTTTCTGGTGGCGCAGTGGTTGGGAGTCCGCCTGCCGATGCAGGGGACGCGGGTTCGTGCCCCGGTCCGGGAGGATCCCACGTGCCGCGGAGCGGCTGGGCCCGTGAGCCATGGCCGCTGAGCCTGCGCATCCGGAGCCCGTGCTCCGCAACGGGAGAGGCCGCAACGGTGAGAGGCCCGCGTACGGCCAAAAAAAAAAAAAAGTATGTCTAAATCCACATACATCTCTATCTCCAAAAGATACGTTTTGAGATTATTTTCATCTTAACTTTCAAAGCAAGGCACTTTGGATCCCATCTCAAAACACTGGTAAGTGTAACTTTTATACTTGTGAAGTAGTTTGAGCCACATTGTTCTTTAACTTTATAATTAAAACAGAAGGTCCTTCTTCCCCATTTGAATAGAGCGAGAAAATATTTCTTCGTTTTGACTGGAAAATAAGCCAGGCCAATGAAAAGGAGTAGAATACCGACCGCCATGAAGAAAATCCTCCTCAACAAGAGTTTAGTGCATTTACTGGGGATTTTTCTGATCGTCAGAGGTGTGCTAAGCACTTCCATTTCCTTCTACACCTCCATGACGTCTGCCCCTTCAAAGATGAGGAAACTGATTCTTAAAAAGAGGTTAAGGAACTGGCCCAGTATCACACAGTTAGGAGGTGATGAAACTCTTGGCTTGGCAGGTTTTGCTTTATCACCAGGGTTCTAGGCAATACCATGCAGCTCAAACTTTCACATGCATTCATATTAGCTGGGGATCTTGTTTAAAGCACATTCTGACTCAGTAGGTCGAGGGCGGGGCCTGAGACTCTGAATTTCTAACACGCTCTCCACTGATGAGGAGGGAGCTGGTCCATGGACCAAACTTCGAGTAGCAAGGCACAATGCTATCGCAAGACCATCATTCCTTCCCTTTCAAAAGAATGCTATGACATTTCATCGCATTGGGAGCCAGACACTCTCTCTTGGTTACGTGACCCTGATATATCTGAGACAACACGGAGACAAGAAAGATATCAATCCAGAAGCAATCGTGGTTATGGAATGCATACATTTCCATGTATTTTTTACAGTAAAAATGCATTAAAAAATCTTTCACAAAAGAAACTTAAAAAATACAGGTAGGGTGTGCAGTTCTCCCCACAAAATTCTTTCAGGCATTGACTGTGTCATGGGTGGGAGGGAAGTTCCTATAGGGTTTGATTTAATCATACAAAATACTCATCCATATCATCTCTCATCAAGACATGTACATGAAGTGTGGAACTGGGGAAAGTAGGCTCAAAAGAATCAGTCTCCAATTTAAGGTTACAGTAGTTCAGAGAAAACACTACCTTTCTGCTTAATGCATAGTCCCTGTACAGTACGATATTTCCAAAGCAAATCTGATATATGGAACTCAGACGGCACTGCCACATCAAAAGTCTTCACAGACAGAGCCAAGCCCAGGTGGGTAGCACACAGATTTTAAGATGTCAAGTATCATCTCTGACAACAAGAAAGACATCAAAATGTTAACTTCACAATGTACTCCAAAAATCCACCTCTTGATTTCATTTATTTAAAACTCTGGACCGCAACTGAAAGCATCGATCATTTAACATCATGGATTTGGCTAGAAAGAGTGAGAGAATTTCTAGCAGTGGAGCCTCAGGAATAAAATCCCCAAGTTGGCTCTTAGGAAATTGATGAAAAAAGAACATCATTATTCAGCTCCGCCTTACCACTGTAGTTCAATGTATGCTCTGTATGGAAAACTCTGAAGATAAAAATAGCAGTCACAGACTTTTTCCTCTTTTTTAGCTACAGAAATGTACAATTGTGTCTGTTCCAGGAAAGAAACTTGGTTTGTGCGTGTCCACACAATGACAGCTATTCATTCTAATGTTATGTATAAACCCATAAGTCAAATAAAGCTATGAACAATGTAATATTTATATATGCATAGTGTTTTATCAAAAGATTGGCCCACATACTGCTTTTCATCAATACAGAAAGAGCATTAAGTCCATAGCACACCACAAGAAATGAATGAGGAACCGAAATGCAAACAAGCGCTTAATAAATCACAAGCAGGCTCACCATGGAGGAAATGATGATATTCAAACCAACTAAAGCTTTAGAGAATTACTTATATAGTCTCCCATTTTTAAAACAGCTTTACATACCTGATTTAGTTTACATTAAAATATATCCCAATGAATCAATTTGTTCCATGTTCAGAAATATAAACACATATCACATTCCTCACAGCTAAATTTTGTGTCATAAATTCTCTTTTATACAAGAAAAAAGGCAACAGTTGTTTGTTTTTAAAACAGGCTCTATTAATTACAATTTTTAACTCTGTACACATGGTAATTGGCTGGTTTTCTCCATTTTTTTTTTTTTTTTTTTTAAACAGTACCATGAGAACAACAGTGATTGACTTGCAAAGTTTTGTGTCTGTATGGAAAATGCAAAACAGTACTATGGAAATACACAATGCATCGTAAGCAGCGGTTTGCTGCAGTGGTCCAACAGGTACAAGCAAAGGTTTTGGCTCAGCTAGGCAGTAATCCATTTCAACCGCATGCTGGGGCTACAGCCGACCCAACCAAACCTCCTGTGAGATAGCAAAAGAATGGATCTTTTATCAAAGAAAAACCACTGTTTTGCTCTGTCGAAAGACTCAGAGAACAGGGTCATAAGGGCAGAGGTTTGCCAGCTAGATCTAGAACCACTGAAATCGCATCCTTCCCTCCCTTTCAATCATCCTGGAGACTTTCATTATGATTCCAAAGGAAAACTGGCATTTCTAAGAATGAGCATGCCCAACCCTCATTTCTTTTAAACATTAACAGAGAGGTTCCTTCCAACAAGGCTTACTTACTCCCGTCTCCCCAGTTTGGCAAAGGGCAAGCGCGGGCTTACGCTAAAATGGGGGAACATACTTTCTGTACTGGCAATTCTTAGGACTCCTCACGCCAGGCACACTGTCCCCCATTCCATCTCCTATTCCGCCTCAAATCAGGCAAGACAACACAGAAGGTGTTTGTTAACCATTCCTTCTAGTAGTTGAGCAAAGCTGTGATGGCACTGCCTTAATGAAATCTCATTAGATGTCGGTGATGCTAATGAACCTGAGCATCTGTGCTTGGGCTGCATTTGGGTAACGGCGGCCAACCTTCTCCTCTTGGCACCTTTCTACGGCCAGGGAGAGTACGAACTGTTTTCTGAACCAACTATAACTTGAGAACATAATATTTCCTTGTGCTGTGTCGTTTAACTATAAATATCCTTCATTTGCGATAGTAGTCTCTTCATACAGTTTGCTTAATTTTAGGATCATCGGCAATCCTAATCCATTCCAAAGAGTCCTCAGCTTTTACAAATATAATTTTTGCCTTTTTACTCTTTTCTTTTTTTCAAGAAAAACTCCTAACCACAGTATAGCACTACATCACTACATAAGTCTCTATCAAATTAATTAAACTTGATCCATGATTTTCCTTACTTAGAGAAAATGATCAACAGCCCCATTTTACCAGGGGAGAAAAAGGTCGCTCCCCCCCCAAAAGGGAACAATTCTTGACAATTCTACAGTTTATGTAGAACCAAAATTTATATCCCTTGGGGGCAGCATTTGGCAAATAATTTCCAAAAAAGTATGCATTTAAAAATACTTTCTTTAATATGATACATCAGGCACAACACTTTTCATATATATATATCTTTTTCTTATAAGATTTCAAATGCATCAAATGTTTGTCGCAAGTCAGAGAATCATCAGGCTGACGTCAGACGCTTCACTAGGTAAGAAACTAAACGATTTCAAGTCTGTGAGCTTCCTCTTAGAACCTTTGACACGGTAAAGGCTGGAATGTGATTCAGGGTCTCAGATACTGAGGTCGGTGCTACATTCTTTGTAAGGTCGCCTTCTCTGCTCCGGGGGATGTCTGGAACCTCGGCTGGCATCCTGTTTCAGACTCGTCTCGTCCCTCTCTCGGTGGCCGCCTTTGTCTTCTTTGCTCCTTTTCTCCAGGGACCGCTCTCTCCTCCGCTCGGGGGACCTGGTCCGCCGCCGGTCTGTGGATTTGGCTCTCCTTTCGGGCGAGCTTCCTCTCTTGCGCTCCGGAGATCTTCTCTGATCCCAGAGTCTCTCGAGAGACCTCCTCCGCCGGCCGGGGGAGCCGTCCCTCCGGCGCGGTGGGGACCGCTCTCGCCTCCTCTCCGGGGAAGCCTCCCTCTCCTGCTTCGCCCTCCTCTCCAAGGTGTTGTCAGCGCTCCTCGTGCCCTCCCTCCGCTTCTCCGGGGGCCTCCTCTTGGGGCCATTGGTCACCATCCGCTCGGGTTGGGCATCTCTTCGTCCCTCGGGTGCCCGGTCCTTGGGTCGGCAAGCCCCACTGTCGGGTTTTCTAGAAGTTCCGTTCCATGTGTGATGTTCGTTGGGTTGTCTGCTATACTCTCTGCTGCCTTTGGGATCTCTCACGTGTGCCCGCTTTTCCCCATGTGGTGATGATTTGTGAAGATCGGGTGGAAAACTGGACTCCAATGATGGTTGCTGTCGGCGGTCAGGGGGCGCGGCCCTCATTTCCGGAACACCTTGTGGACCGGTGGGAGGGCCGTTCCCGTCGCTGCTGGGGTCTGCGAGGAAGAGAAACCAGAGCAACAGTTTGGTACCAAGGACCTCGGCTCCTGTCTCCACCCGCACACGTGAGATCCCATTAGTCACAACAAACAAACGACTGTTACAGCAGTCAGAATCAAAGCCAACTGACTCTTGGTTAATTTAAGTATAACTGCAACTAGTCAGGGTTAAAAAACTGGTACTTGTGGCTTTCCACAGCTAGCCTACTGTTCTTTATACTCATAGATCATTAAAGAACTTGTAACATCAGTCGGGAGTTTAGTCTTTAAAGGCACAACCCAAATAGTCTGTCTAAAAGTATCAAAATGTCCCCACCCTATCTCCTGCTCTTTTTTCCCCACTCTACCCATCTTCCTCCGTGATCCACCCCCCCAGCCCCCAGCCCGCATGACAGAAAATATTCCTTTCTTTAAAGAATACTTGTTTTAATTTGCTTAAAAACAACCTGGGCTATTGACCTGGAGGGGCATGAGGGAACTTTCTGGGGGGATGTAAAGAGTTGATGTTTTGATCTGGGTGGGGATTAAAGGCGTGCATCGAGAGGTAAAAATTCACTGCACTGGACGCTCAGGCTTTCTGCATTTTACTGTAAGCAAAGTATACTTCTATTTAAAAAAAAAAAAATTATCCAGCCTGGTGATTACAGAGGCAACACAGCCAGATGTTGATGATGGGCAATTGTGACATTATGGGAGGGTCCATTAAACATTCTCTCTACCTTTGTGAATGTCGTTCAACTATTTTCTTTACTCTTGCATAAGGTTAAGGAACTGTTTTTAAACTGTAGAGTCTTCTGACAGATAAAAGGGAGCGGAAGAGAGGCCATCAGGATCACATTTGACATTCGATGGGGTTCGGATAGAGGCACTTTTCTTGATGCGATAGAAGCAGCCATCATTACATCTTTGAGCCGTGAAGTCACTGGACAGCTTCTTACAACCTCAAGTTGTCTATAGATTAAAAAGCAGGGCAAGCCATAGGGCTCCTATTTACCGTTAAACTATTTGAAATGACGCTGCAAATGTTTTAGGTAGCATCCCAGATTTATGACAGCTCTTTGCAAAACAGGGATGCTTTGTCACACCTAAACCCAGTAAGTCATACACACTATTGCATTTCCAGGCAAAGCACCTGAAGTGATGTGCTGCAGCGTGGAGGGCAAACCGGGGCCACAGTCACAGGGGCGAAGGAATCACGGGTGCCCCCTTAAGGATCTTTCATGAGCCAACAAGGTCAACATTAAGCAATTAGTCTCTTTCACGAACCATCTCCCAAAACCTAGGGTGGGTTTTAACAAAAGCAGGAATATAGCCTAGAGCAGGAATCAGTAAACTTTTTAAAGGAAAAAGGTGTAAAGGGCCAAAGAGTAAAATATTTATGGTTTAGCAGGCTGCATAGTTTGTCACAACTGTTCACCTGCCACTATAGTGCAAAAGCAGCCATGGACAGCACATAAAAGAAATGGGCATGGCGATGTGCCACTAAAACTTTACTTACAAAAACAGGCTACAGACAAGATTTGGCCTGTGGGCTGTCATTTGCCAAGAGATAACTGAGTAGGAAATCTCATCTTCCTGTCTATCAAAGCCCTATCCCTCTAAGTGAGAGCTTTGTGATCTGAGGTTTGTTTTTTCTGAATGCTGGGTAGGCTTCTAGAATTAACACACGCAGAAGCTTATGAAGTGATTTTAGGATCCAGGTGAGGAAAGGGGCTTCAATGACTATCATAAATCTAACCTTGGGATTTCTTACACCTACTTTTAAGAGAAGGGAGAGTAAGACTTCCATAGGGTCAGCGGTGTACTTACAATTCAAAGAACGCAGGGTGCTCAGAATGAATTGCCAAACATATCAAAATAGAGCTAAAGCAGAAGCAATGAGGAAATTAGGCCACAGCACAGAAACACCTAGTATTGATTGAGCTACAAACCGTAGTTTGATTATGGCCCATAAGGTAGAAGCAAGCCTCCCCGAGCTTTTCATTTCTCATACATGCAGCGATATTAGGAGGTATCATCGCTGTAGAAGGGAGGGCCCAGCACCAAGAACAGTCAGAGAGAAAGAGAAAGAGAGAAAGAGAAAAAGTTGAACGTTTAGATTCCCTATAACAAAGAGGAAAGAAAAAAAAAAATCTGCATTTGTTAACATAGGGCAAAGAGAGTTTATTTGTCCAGTCAGACAGTCTAAGGCAACACTCAAATAAGGCTGCAGAGACCAAAATCAGAACAGTGACGTTTTCAGACAGCCAGATAAGGTGACTCGAGAACCCAGACAATGAATGCATCCTTTTTTCTTTTTCTTTTCCTTTTTTTTTTCTTTTTCAAACAACTGGAACAATGACAGGCTGGCATAGGAGAGCATTAACAATAAACAACAAAGGAACAAAGTTCCCTCCCTCCATCCCCCCTCCCCCAAGACCACGGCAGTTAAATTAAGTACAAAAAACTCATTACAAAAATAGCCTCACAGAGAAGCAGGTTCCAATCAAGTCAGAAAAATATTGGAACTTAACATATTATAACCCATTTGTGATTCTAATCAATAGAATTAGAGAGATTTAGTCCCAATGACACATGGAGACATTACAGTAGCACAACCCTGGCACGTTCAACCCTTCTTGGAAAAAAACTGTGTATTTCAATGATCTTTATTTTTAGCCCAAAGAACATTTGTTAGTGTTGGATTTTCATCCTCAGTGCAACAGACATAGGTTTTGAGAAGGTACACAGGTTACTGACGATGACTCGCAAATGAACATCACATCCAACAGAAGCATAGGGAAGACAGAAAAGGGAGATAATGTTACACAGTTTCAGTGGCATCGATACACCTATGGTCAAGGTTTAGTACAGTGCACAGCTGTGGCATCTTAATGTTGTCAGAATACCTCCCCCATGGTTGGCCATGTCTCAAGGGGCCTCATCTGATACCCATCCCCACCCCCCACCCCCCACCCCCGCCTTGGGCCCCTTGTATTTTGCGCCTGCACGAATGCCCAACACCTGGAAAGGCTGTCCTTCAAAGGGGTAGTCCCTCTCCTTGAGCTGCATCTGAATTAAGTGTCTCATCAAGTCCAAAATGCAACTGGGAATTGTGCCAAATGACTTTCAGAGCAGAGGGTGACAACAGATAAATCCCTAATAAAGGGGACCAACACATATGGGGACCATTCAATCACAGTTTCTATAGAAACTTTTGTAGACCTTTGGTTGGGAAGAAAAGCCCTACATCTAGGGCATAGCTTTTTTTTTTTTTTTTTTTTTTTTAAATTTTAAACAAGAATCTCAAATAAATAGGATGTAATTATTATAATATACAATATTTCACCATCAGAACACTAGGCTAGGTGAAGAGCATTACTGCTTAGTCAAATCGTGTCTACAGATATGACAAAGGAACTCTATGTAAAAGCTGGCTTTCCTCACAGGAAAGGTATAGTAACGTGTTTCCCTCACGATGGGCACTGGGAATCGATTTCATCCTTTATCACGTAAAAACATATGGTTAATATACCAAGAGTTTTGTTTGTTTTGTAGCAGTGGGCTCAGGTGGTCTGATGTGGGGTACGGACCAGTGGGGGGGGATGCAGAAGTATTGCATACAGAGCATCAAGGAGGTGAGCAAGGCCCCCAGATCATCTCCAAATTTCACGCCTCTTGAATAAAGATATCAAGTAACCAAAAAAGAAAGAGAGAGAAAAAAAAGAATTGTGCCTCAACATATCACTCAGGAAACCTGCTTTCCTGCTTCTTAAAAGGAGTAGAGTCATTTTGTGCTAAGAATTGGATCTGAGAAACAGTTTGGCACAGTTCAAACAAACATTCCTTCGCTCTTGGTCGGACTAGACAAAATGTTCTCTCTGATTATCAGAAAGGGGGCTATAAAGAGCTCGTCTTAGGCCATGCCCCAGTCCACGTAAGCAAGCAAAAGGATGAAATGTGTAGAGATTTCAGAACAAGCGAGGCAAATAATCACATGGTGTGAGAGGCTGGTAAGACACTGGTGAATAGGGGAAACAAAAAGACTTTCCTGCTGCAGTTCTGGAGACAGATTCATGGAGTCATGCCAGGGAAGGAAGGAATGTTTTCATAGTTTGACCCACCATATTCTGGTACGGAGCCATCTCCCCGCTTCAGAAACAGACGCACTCTGCGGCCACCATTCTTAATCAGTTCAATAGCCCGAGAATGCTTCATGTTTTTGGTGGTCTCGCCATTGATCTCTAAAATTTCATCACCAACCTGCCAAAGCAAGAGAGAGCCAAGTGAGAAGATCACAAAAGGGTTTCACCAGCTATTGAGGTGCTTTGTAATTTTAAACTCTTTCACTTATTGACTCACTAACTATTTACTGAACATGTTCCAGAAAAATCTTCTATTGTTTAGGATACAGCAGTGTAAAAACCCCCAAATCCCTGTCCTCATGGAGATGGTATTCTAGTGGGGTAAAGACAATAAGAAAATTATAAAAATGCATGTACACTAGACAGTGTTAAGTGCTAAAGAAAATAAAGTAGCAAAGGGAATATTAATTGTTGAGGGGAGGCGGATGTGGCAGACAGTTTCTAGGATGGCTCCCAATGACCCCTGCCTCCTTGAATTCATATGCTGTGTAATCCCCTTTCCTTTGGATGTGGGCTGGAATTAGTCACTTACTTCTAACAAACAATATGGCAAATGTGATGGGAGGTCAATTCAAAGATAAGGTTACAACATGGTTTTGGCTTCTGTCTTTTTAAAAAAATATTTCATTTATTAAAAAAAAAAATTTTTTTTCAGCCACAACTCACGGCATGCAGGATCTCAGTTCCCTGAGCAGTGATTGAACCTACACCCCCTGCAGTGGAAGCACAGAATCTTAACCACTGGACCACCAGGGAAGTCCCTTGGCTCTTCTGTCTTACTTGTCCTCTTTTGTTCTCTCAGTTGTTCATTCTGATGTATGCTGTGAGATGCCCTACAGAGTCTACGATAAGGAAATGAGGGATGGCTTGGGCCAACAGCCCAAAGCGCACTAATCCTACCAACAACCCTGTGAGTGAGCTTTAGAGGCAGATCCTTCCCCAGCTGAGCCTTCAGATGAGACCACACTCCTGGCTGATACATTGATTGCAGCATTTACTAGGAGTCAGCGACTATTCCAGGCACTGGAGGCAAAGGAGTAAACAAGACAGGCCAGATCCTTGCTCTCACGGAGCACATATTCTAGAAGGCAGAAGAGGAAAGGACTGGCTTTGGAGTTTAAAGGACTAAATTTGAGTCCTATCACTTGTTAGCTAAGTGATCTTGGCTAAGTCCTTTACTTTTTTGAGTTCACTTCCTCATCTGTATAAGGGGAGGATAACAACCCATGCCTACCATGCTGAGGGGGTCCAATCGAATACTACAGTATGCCTTGTGAACTATACAACATTATACAAAATATCATAATAGTGGTATTTCTTTCAATAGAAAACTTTTCTAAGTGAGTAAAGACATGGAAAAGCATATGCCATGTGTTTGAAATATAAACAAAAGGAATATAAACCACCATATATGCACAAACTATGCATGTGTATGCACAGAGGAAGGATATACAAGAAACTGGTATATAGTTTGACCCTGGAAACTATATTTTTACTATGCACCAGTTTCCTCTAATTTTTAAAAATCGCATTCATGGTCTACTTTCTCAATTAAAAAAAAAAAGCTCACTAAAAAATTCAGTCTGAAGAAACATAAAATTCAAGACTCTGTCTTGAGTTACAAGCATTAAATTCCCCACCTCTGGTCACCCTTGTCCCTCTTTCTGCTCAGGGCTAATTTTAATCCCTTTTTTGATTTCCTGACCTGACTCTCCATTTCTTTAATTCCTTGCAAATTGTTCCCTATGTGTGTCTCCATCTATGCCCCCTATCTCTAATGAGCAGATGATTTTTTCTTTTCTAATCATCTGATCTGCCCAGGAGAGCAACATCTTCATACGTGGTAAGAGGTATTAGATATCTAAACAGAACAGATTGGACTTTTGGCACATGTGCATTTAAAATTCGCAGCTTTGATGACTACCTAGTGACCCTGAATAGTCACGCCATGGACTCCTTGGCCCTCTGCTAATGCAGAGTGTTAAATCATTCCCGAGGCCTAGCCTAGGGGGAGGCGGCAGTGGCTAGCTAGAGACTGCATGGAGCTCACCACTCAGAACCTACAGAACCACACGGCTTCCTGCTCTTGAAGCATGCTGGGATACCCAGGAATCCCTGGGAAGTGATGTGCCTGCCCCATGAGATTAAGTAAAAGAACTATGGAGATGGGATTCAGACGATATCCATGTTAGTAAGTTCATAAGTGACTTTAATCCTTCAGTCAACCTCAGAGTTGGAAGAGCTCGCCTAACTTTAGCAGCTACAGCTAACTATGCTTGAGGGAGAGATTTATGCTAGGGTGGGAGTCCTGCACTTGGAGTGTCCTGAAAGCTTTAGAAACATGTAATTCTCATGAACGTGCAGGTTCTAACCATAGGATGTCAAGAAGTCACTGCAGATGACTTCTTTGTGTCCACTCCAGACGCCTCTCCCTACTTACCCTCATCTTTCCACACCTTTCTGCAGGACCATCCTCTGCTAAGCGCAGAACATAGAGGTCCATGTTATACTCTCGGCCCCCTCGAAGACTAAAGCCAAATCCCTTGGCACCTCTTTCCAGTTCCACAGTGTAAAAATCTTGCTCCTATTCAAAGAAATTAAGTGCAGTCATTCTGGGAGGACTTAAATCCACACACATTTCTCTCTCCCTCTTCCCCAACATTCTCCATTATGCTCATTTGACACAAAGGCACCGTTTCTATCCCCTTCTTGGTGATTCTTGTTTATTAATATCGATTAACCTTAGGAGTTTGGAGATCCGGAATGTGAAAACATTCATGAGCGTGCATACAGATTGCATGCCAACACGCATACATTAAAGTTTAATCGGTGAGGCTGCAACTTGCATTTGGGGCAGGAAAATCCTTCATTAAATAATACCATCCAGCACATTGCTGGGTATTCAGCCTCCCTGCCCAACGTCTGAAAACATCTCATCATTAGGATACCAACAACTACCTCCACACATCTGGACAGTGGTACCCATGCTGATTAAGGAGAATCAGGAATGGATTAGGGAAGGCTCTGCGAAGGCCGGTCGGGGGGAGAAAAAAACCTATTTAACTCTGTACCACCCCATGTTTCCCAAATTTGCTTCACCTGCTATTACTTGTGCACCCTCCATTACCACCTTGTGTGACAGCTGGGTAGCTTTAAGGGGTCTCACCTGAAATTCACAAGTCTGAGAAACACCTTAACAAAAAGATATTTTCTTGACATAAATGCCTTTATGAGTACCATGAGGAGACATGAGCTGGTTTGCTCTTTCTCTGATCACCAATCCTTGAGATAATTATAGCTTTTTATTTTGTGTGGGTTTCCCACCGAGCCCTGCCTAGAAAAGGATGTCTAGGAATATTTTTCAAAGGTAGTAAAATAAAATGTCATTTCCTTGATAAACCAATATGAGTACATGTTTAGTACATACCCCCCACAAAAAGTTATTTATCTTAATTGAGGGTACCTTATAGAAGATATCTGGTAAAAATCGCTTTAGAAAGTTGGAAGGAAACACACCAAGCCAACAAGGAAAAAAGAGAAATGGTCCTCACCTGTGTTCCCTGGGGTGCTTTGAACTCAAACTGAGATTCCGGCTTTGGTTTGGTGGTATTCCTGCCGAAGCGAGAGAAAAAAGCGTAAGAGCAACCCACGAGGAGACAGAGAAAGAATCAAGGAGGAGCATCGTCACAACAGGAGTTACTTTTTCCCCTTGAAAGTAACAAAAGAAACCAAAGCCGTGTCTGACCTGGTCTCCTGGGCCCCTTGCTGCGAAGGGGTGTGTGTGGTGGTGATGGTGGCAATCTTCTCTGCATTGGTCAGCAAAGTGGCATTCGAAGACTCTGCGGGGTAAGACAGAGCATCAGGAAATGAAGGCCCCAGAGAAGACACTGTCACACCAGGAGGTGTGCAGAAGCCTCACCGGTGAATTCTATCTGGCTTCTCCGTCACCACTTCAAACAGTTTTGAACTGAATTTCTCAAGAGTTTAAAGGGCCATTCTAAGATCTTCTATGATGTGAGCCACGTACACCCCCATTACCCTCCTCCCAGTCAGACATCTCCACAAATGAAAGAAAGAGTTTACCCAAGAAAATGGTTCTTTAAAATTGTAGCCAAGGTAGGTGCCTTTCACTCTTCCCCCATCACTCATAAAGGGCAGGCCCATCAAATCATGGCACCACACCAGAATTATTTCCCATAATTCTACAGGCTGATAATGTCTCTGCTAATGTTTCCTGCAGTTTTTCAGCGATCTTTAGTGAGTCTGTTTGATTTTCTCACGTGACTATTAAAATCAAAAGTGCGCTAACATCTTGTTAAACACACACGCACCTAACGTCTACTTTCTTCCCCAAAGCTTTTATAAAACGAAGCACAGCTAAAAATGTGGAATTCTTGTGAGACCTCGCCTAGATTCACTCATGAAGAGTTCATTTTAAAACTTGCATTAGTTAGAGCTGGAGTTTATAAATCTAAGTTGTACAGATCAGCAAGCCACCCTAATGTAATGAATACGATTATATTCTTATGAAAATTGCCTTTCTTCTCCACTAAACACATTCATAAGCAACTTCATTGATCTCTGGGAGTCTGGAGACCCAGAATTTGAAAACACTCACGAACATGCCTACAGATTGCAAACCAACATGCATATATGAAAATATAATCATTCACATTGTAATAGTTATATGTTCTATTACTAATTATTTCCCCATTAAGGTCAAGGCAGATAGTAAGCAACTATGAGCAAGTTACACTATTAATATTTACTTTTAGGTTGACTGTCTGGAACTTGGCACACGTTTTCTAATCAAGAAAATGCTAAATGCGGTGGTGAAGTTCTTAGATTAGCCTATAAGTGCCCATTTAATTCATAGTGTGCTGTGAAATCTAGAAGTGTCTAGGAGTCCTGTGGTTCACAGTAGGCACTCCAGTGTTTGTGGAATACATGTATCTACCCATCATGTATAACCAAGTTTCTATGGACAGCTCACTAATCCTAAGTTTTTGGGATTTTACTTTCCTAAAGTAAAATCCCCCAAAATCTTCCATTTTACTTTCCTAAAAAATACTACTCAGATTAAGTCTGACTTCCTGTTATTTTATTTTCATAGGCGTTAAAAGCAAGGGCTGGAGATCAGACCCAGGTTCAAATCCCTTTGTCCCCCACTCATTAGCTGTGTGCCTTGTTTTCCTCATCTGATAGAAGGGGATGATGCCAATAATTCCCTTTTCTTGGGTAAAAATATATGAAATGTTTAGCACAGTACCTGACACGTAGTAAGCACTCAAGACACACTGATTGTAGCTGTGGCCCTTGCTACCACTTCTGCTTTGTATTTATTACTGTGGTAACGTCTGTAAGTTATTTAAACTCTCTGCAAAATTAGAAAGTTGAAATACGATTTTAACAGTTTCTCCTCCAGCTCTAAAGATTACGATCTGGATAGCGAAGGCGCAAGATTAGTGAGAAAATGTAACTAGATCAGATGAACTGAGATGTGAGTCCAGTTCATGCTTTAGGATGACGTCTCCCACAGAATCTGTTTTACCAAATGTTGCTCCAGATTCTGAGGGAACAGTAATCTGTGGTCAAACAGGGTGAAAACTAGTGGGTGGAACAGAGAGAAATGTTTTTGTGTGTCTGTGTTTTGTTTCTCCTGTGGACCCTTAACTGTGCCAATACACTTTGTGACCCTCCGAGGTGGGGAAGTGATGCTTCTTAAGCTTGTCAGGCGTAATAGTTATAAGGTCAGATTCTAGAGTCAAGACTACCTGGCTCTGCAACCCAAACTCTGCAACTTACTGGCTGGGACCTGAAGCAAAGTTACTTCAACTTTCTATGCCTCAGTTTCCTCATCTACACATACAGCATAACAGAAATATCTAAGAACACTGGTGCAAAGATTACCTGGGAGGAAAGTGTTTGGGCTCGTGCCTGGCACATAAAAACTGCTCAAAAAATGATGAGCATCTTTTTTATGGGTGGCATGTATTTATTACTGTTATCACAATATTGAGTATATTATTAGTCCATTTTTATGACTGCAGTTAAGCGGCACAACCAAGGCGATAAATCTAAGTGGTATTTCATAAAGTCTGCCTGCTGTGCCCGTACAAAGGACTAGGAGACCGCACAGCCTGTCAATGTGATTTGCCAGAAGTTTCATAAACGTGTATTTTTAAAAACTTCATATTGATCATTGTAATTAATTTTATGGAGACTCTCTGGGAAATCACAAGATTGCTAGGGCCATGGGGAAATCATCATCAGGATACCAAAAAGAATGTTTCCTTGTAATTAAAGTGATTATAATGACTGAATTGTGCAGAGGTTCCCCTTTAGAGTTCTTGGGTGTTTTTTTTTTTTTTTAAAAGCTTAAAATCAGTAAAATTCATTTATTTATTTGTTTGTTTGTTTGTTTGTTTGGCTGTGCCAGGTCTCAGTTCCGGCATGTGGGATCTAGTTCCCTGACCAGGGATCGAACCCAGGCCCCCTGCATTGGGAGCCCGGAACCTTAGCCATTAGACCACCAGGGAAGTCCCTCTTGGGTGTTTTTCGTAGCCAGAGTTTTCTAGGCAGGGCAGATCTCATTCTCAAACCATTTTAATACTTATGCTATTTTCAAGGTTTGATGAGATATAATAGATAATCACTCAACAAACATATAAATAGAATTTTTATTAAGTTTCCTTCCATCATTCCTTTGCTACTTTTCACATATTTATATGCAAATCTGTTTTGGATTGAAGCTTAATTTTAAGCATTTCAAAAATTAACATTTAATATGCAAATGCCTAGTTGAACCCACTGAATTTTTCTCCTTTTGCTTGTTTTCCTTAATCTATGAACAACCACCACATCTCGATTGTTTCCAACACGCCAAGCACTGTGTTAGGTGCATTATCACATGTACTATTTCATTTCATCCTCACAGATCAATGAAATAGGTGCAATTAGTTACCCCCACTTTATAGAGACACTGAGGCTTCGAGTAAGTAGGCAACATGTCCAAGGTCTTCCAGAGAGCAAGTGGAGGCAATGGGAATTAAACCAAGGGCCTGCCTGATAGTTAACTTTTAGTTTCATTCTGTTTACAAGGGAATTACGCACTGGTATCAAGGAAATCGTATCGGATTGGTACATTCCCTTCAAATAAGCAAGTACTTTTACCTTCCTGTATAAGTACCATCAACTTCACTAAGCAGTATCAGAGATTAAGATACAAAATACCCTGGTTTTGACTTCTAGATTTCCTGGGCCATCTCCGAGCACCAAAATAGCTTTTAGTATACCCTAGATTTCCAGGATGCTTTTAAAATATCTATTAATATAAACTTATATGTTTTTAAATGAGCTTTTACGTCTTCATTTAGAATTAAAGCAAGACAGTATGTGCTGAAATTCTCTCCAGCTTTTTAAAATACAGAGATGAAGCCTGTTCTCACAAATTTATATCTCTATCCCAAAGCAAAATTTGCCCCATATAATAGAAAAAATGTAAAAGAAGGGCTTGATATAAGAGTACACCCTAGAGGCAGTTTTATAAAGGGGTGTCAAGGTATTTGACTTTTAAAACTCCAAGGCAGATAGATGGACAGATTGGCTGTTTTCATGATAAATTCCAAAAAAGTGCCCTACATCCTTTCTTAAAGAGTGTTTACACCTGGCTTTAGCTCTCCCAGAGGAATGAAAATGGATATTACTACACTTTCTACAGCAATCGTGTTTCAAGACGAGCATATCCTAGCTCTCAAGGCACTGTCACGGTGCCATGCTAAATCAGGGCACTAATTTCTGACAGGAGCGCCGCCTATCGTGGGTTTCAAGTTATCTCCGTGACAAATGATTACAATTCCAACCTTGCTCCCATGGTAATATCCTTAGCCATCCTTATGGAATCCACATTACAAGGCCAAGCAAATCGACAACAGATACAATCATTCCTTTCATAAATATTTTAATGCATAAACACATATGTAATAAATATCTGAAGGGAGCATTTGAAAATTTAAATGCCATAAATATATGAAAAGTTTTGGGAGACTTTTAAAATGTATATGATGGAAACCCCGCTCTTCTTGCCTGAGTATATGCTAGCTATCATATCCACAGAGCTTTCTATTAAATAAGTAAACTCTTTTAGGCCTTTGCCAAGGAAATAGTGCTATGTTGCCAAGCCCTGCTACCTATACAAGCAAATACTTTAAATCAGAGAGATGTGAAGTACAAATATAGATACATGGATATGAATAACTGAATCACTCCGCTGTACACCTGAAACTAACACAACACTGTTAATCAACTATACTCCAATAAAAAATAAAAACTAAAAAAGACTTCAGGAGAAAAAAGACTATATTTAAATAATATATTTTTATTTTATTTTTATTCCTTCTTTCTTTCTTTATTTTGGCCGAGCCAGCCAGGCGGGACATGGGATCTTAGTTCCCCAACCAGGGACCTAACCCGAGCCCCCTGCAGTGAAGCGTGAAGTCTTAACCACTGGACCACCAGGGAAGTCCCTAAATAATATATTTTTAAGCTCATAAATATTTTCATTACCTTGAACTTGATTCAATCTGATGATTTTCCATGTTAGCCTGGCTCCGTCAGGGTCTGCTCTGTCTGATTAGAGTCTCATTCCACCCAGATTTCACAGGGTGTTTCTATAGAACACAAGTGGTAGGAAGTATGTGGGGTGTAACTAGTCAAAATTCAAGTTCAAATTCAGTATGTTCAGCCATTCTGTGGGCCTTTCTGTGCTGCCATGATCAATTTCCTATCCCTTGTCCATCTCTCATAGGAGAAGAGGCTCTGCCCCCACTTCATCTCCTATCCTGGTCCCAAAGGTAGTAAAAGCAGAGATGGTGAGAACTCTGAGCCAGGCCTGTCCTAGAACTGCGAAGGCAGGACTTCAAACAACACAATAGTGTCAAATCAAGGGGGTCGTGTTTCAAAGCTTTTGTTGGAGCCAGGAAGGTGAGAAGGAAACAGGCGAGGCACAGTGAGGGAAACTATTTAGAGAGAAGTGAAGCTGGAGAATCAGGTGACTGATGATAAGAAAAAAGAACATGGGACTCCCCTGGTGGTCCGGTGGTTAAGACTGCACTTCCATTGCAGGGGGCACGGGTTCGATCCCTGGCCGGGGAACTAAGATCCCACATGCCGTGCAGTGTGGCAAAAAAAAAAAAAAAAAAAAAGAACAAGCAGCATGAGCTAGATAAGGCAGTGGATGGGGAGTGGGTTCTAAGCACTGCCCAACCAATGGTGCATCTTCCTTTTTTTTTCCTTAAATTTGATCATTATTTTATTTAGAAAACTAAAACAATTTGTTGTAAGAAATCAAAATGATGGTTACAATGCCTTATGTAAAACAGAGGGAAAGTATACAATAAAGTCATGTGGGGACTAATGCCAGGTATAGTTTAATCCTTTAAACCGTATATTAATATTCTGGTTGTGAATTTCATTTGGGGACATTCTCGGTCATTAACTATATGCAAATCTCTCCTTAATTCATGACTCCATTAATGGTAGATGGGTGAACTCTTAGAGGAATCTCTGGATACACATTTTGCAAATATTTATCCTGAGTTGAAATAAGATTCACACGACAGGATAAAGCCAGAGAACACAAATATTAAATGACAGTTTGAACATGATGACATCAATCCTTGTCACACCTTTGACTTGAATGTCTGATAAAAATAAGCCTCGAGAACTTAAAATTGCTCAACCACACTGTGACATTTCAAGACTACCTTGCTTTGTAAGTTTCTCTTTGGGGAACTGTGCAAAGAAAGGATGAGTTAGTCTTCTTCAACTCAGTAATGGACAAGTAGCTGTAGCCCAGAAGCTCATATAACGTGTTTAGCCACATCTCCTCCAAGTTTGGTCTGCTTATCTCCTGTCTGACTCATAAGAGAGCCTCTTTGTAAAGTGCCTCCTTGGGTTTCTGAGAACAGGACCCTGGACAAGATGGATTTCCAAGAGCTCCAAAGCCACTCTAATGAAGAACATCAGTCTCCTTGTGAGGATCATGGAACAAAATGCCTCTGGGCTACTGGATCCATTAAATACTAGAGTGAGAGACTGAAGGAGATCAGAGGTCCCTAACATGGAGAGAACACCTTCCTTTTACCTTACAGTCTACCATGTCCAACACACTTTCACGGAGAGGAGGTGGATCCAGCACGATTTTCTCTTCATCAGATTGTAATGGTCACTCTCTGTCTTCTAGGTTTTTGCAAAACCCTTCTGGATTGCTCCAGCATCTCTCCATGTCTCCAGAAACCTGACTCCCCTGCCTTCACTCTAATCTCCAAGACGGCAACTTTTGGCCCCATTTAAAAGATGAGCATTACAAACCCACCCTCTGGCTGCCAGGCTTGATTCGCTTTACCTGGACTTTGAAAATTACAAAGCAATTGGTGAAGAGTTTTATTACCATGGTGATGAATTCCTGAAATATCATGGAATGAAATCACATCCTCAGCAACACATCGTTCCTTAACTACACTGTCTCAACTGTAATGTTTACTTTCTTCTAACCAAGATGGCCTGTGATATGCCTGTCTGAATTCTACACTGTTGAAGGACTGAAGTTTTAAAAAATGTCTTTTTATTGACAACTGTTACTGGATGATCTATATTGCTTTCTATTTTTTGGTGTTCAGGTTCTCCAAAACTATTTTCCCTTGCAGAACATTAAATTAAGTCAACAAGTATGTGCACGGGAGTACAAGTTGCTTCTGCATATCTACATCTTTCCCGATTGTGAACTCTTTTTCTAAGCCCTTCCCTTAAGGAGCACTTTCTTTCCTTCCTTCCTTTTTGGAAATTCTCATTCCCACATTAAGACTGACCAACATTAGACCCAGCCAGTCAATTCCTGTGTCTCTTTCTTTTGGATAAATTTTTTCGAAATCTCTCCACAGCATGGAGATAAATGTATCTGAATTTATATACTACATTAGGCTCTCTCAACCATCTGTCACCAAATTTTTCTGGCCTCCTTCATCCTTTCCATTAGGAACCTATGTTCTATCATCTTGTGATCACTTTCCTAAATTGTAATAGCTTTCCAGAGTGGTGAATTGGTAGAATGGACTCTAGACCAGATGGTAAATTACTAACCATGCATTTGAGACAGGCTGAAATAGACCATCATTCAAGGAGCTATTTTTCCTCTACATTTGGTATGGGGTATTTTTGGTACAGAGGAACCTCTCTGTTCTTAGGACCAACGATGTTCAAATATTTATTGTTTGGTTTTACATTTTCTTCTTCTGAAAGGCACAGTCTACAGCACTGGAGTTTTAAACTAATATGGTTCACTTTCTAGCAATTAGTATATAAAAATGTTGACCTGCCGAATTACTTTCAGATAAAATCTCTGATTTTCTTATTTTACAGATCAGTGGCAGAGAGTTTTATCACCGTTCCCCCATAAACCACAGTTTCCTCTTGAGAAATACTCATTGACTTTTAGAATATATTTTATTATATAACATATGTACCAAGAATGAAAAAAAAAAAAGACACTGAAACATTCTAGGACAACTATCACTTCTTTCCCAAGGGCAAAGTCTGCTTAGAAGGAAGTCAATATACAGGACTTAATTCTCTGAAGGATCTATACTTAGTGACATTAGCGTTATCAACTTCATTTTTATTAAGTATGAATAATGAGTATTGACACTTTTTGCTGGATAATCTTTGACAGTGGGGGCTGCCCCATGTACTGTAGGAGGTTTAGAAGCATCCCTGCTCTCTACCCACTAGAGGACATTAGCACCCACTCCAGACAATGCCAAATGTCTCCCCAAGGGACAGAATCACCACTGCTACAAAAGAACCAAAGATATGAATGGAACCAATCAAACAAATAAATAAGAACAGGCCTAGTTTAATGGAGGCCGGTTAAAATATCAAAAACACAGAGATTTTATTCATTTTTCATCCACGTGCAAAAGTTAGGGACAAACCACATAGGCACAAATCCTGATAACCTCCCATTAAATAAAAAACTTTGATACATTCACTTATTCAGATTGAAAAAAAAAAAAAAAGAGCACTGGCTCTGCATTGTCCTTACATAAGTTTTGTGATGTCACCATACTACGCATTCAGATTTTAGTCATCGTTTTAAAAAAAATCTTTAATAATTTCCAGGTAGAGTATCAGACGAGCTTCACCACCTGTACTCAACCTTTTCTGCTGTTTTGAAGACAAGGGCACCAAAGCCAAAATAAATCGGAGAAAGTTAAAGATTTTTCTGAAATGTTTATCTCTGTAGCAAGACAGGGTCCCAGGGCTAGAGAATGAAGTCAAGAGGGTGACGTAAGATTTAGTAACAGTGGCTCATGTTTGCTTGATGGGTATGTTCAGTTAGACATGGATAAGGCTGCCTCTAAGTCAAAACTATTCAATTACATGAACACTAATGATAGAGACAGAGCTAGAGAGAGGCACACACACAATAGGTATACTTTACCATCCCCGGGAATGATGCGGAGGGTAACTGTGTTTCCCGCTTCCTTGATGAGGTTGACAATGTCGGAATGGGACTTGTTGGTGATGGAACATCCATTTACCGCCAAGATCCGGTCTCCTACTTTCAGCTTGCCACATCGGTCAGCAGGGCTCCCCTCAATAATCCGACCTATTTTGTGAGGCATGGCCACACATGCATTGCCTGCTTTGATAGTCAGTTTTAATTTTTTTTTTAAGTTACATGGGAATAGAGTGAAGGGAGGAG